TATATATATACACATTAGCACATATATACTAATGGTTACATACAAATCTATATACATATATATGTATATATTATATATGTGTATATATATACATTAGCACATATATACTAATGGCTACTACAAATCTATATACATATAGATGTCTATATTATATATGTATGTATATACACATTAGCACATATGTACTAATGGTTACATACAAAGCTATATACATATATATGTCTATATTATATATATGTATATATATATACATTAGCACATATATACTAATGGTTACATACAAATCTATATACATATGTACATATATGCAAGCACACATACATTCCTGTTGTTGTTTAGTGTTGTCAAGTCAGTTCCGACTCATAGCAACTCTGTATAGGGTTTCCGAGATGTGACTGGTGCATTTGAATTGCTGACCTTGCAGTTCAAGCCAAACTTTAGTCCAGTGCTTATCCTACGTGCTGCATCAGAACTCCTCATATATACAGATTTGCATGTAAGTAACGTTGAGTCATATTGACCCTGTTGTATATAAGTACTGTTGATTCATAGTGACCCTGTGTAGTGTTTCTGAGGAGTGGCTGTAGGGTTTGAACCACCAACCTTGTGATTAGTGTATGTATGTCTGTGTATATATTTCTTATTCTGTCAGATGAGAGGACCTAAAACAACCAAATGTGCAACAACAGACCACTAGCAATGAGCACAACCAGTGTACAGATCTTGGTTTCTAATATCATTCTCTCACAGAAGGAATCAGGGCTCCTTGGAGAAATGGCTGACTCTAGGACATGTTGTTGTTGTTGTTAAGTGCTGTAAACTCAGTTCTGACTCATAGCGACCCTGTATAGAGTTTCTAAGACTGTAATTTTTGCGGAAGCAGAAAGCCTCATTTTTCTCTCATGGAGCGAAAGGTGGGCTGAAATCACCGACCCTCATGGTTTACAACCCAGTGCTTATCCTATGGAACCACAGTGCTCCTTGGTTCCAGGACTTGTTGTTGTTGTTGTGAAGTGCTGTCGAGTCGATTCTGACCCATAACGTCCCTGTATAGGGTTTCCAAGGAGCAGCTGGTGAGCTTGAACCACCAACCTTGCAGTTCAAACAACTTTGCAGTCTGACACATTAGCCCACAGCGTCACCCCAGGACTCCTGGTTCTAGGACTAGGGCAGGAAAAATACAAGATGAGTCTGGAGCATCTTGCAATGTTGGAAAGTAAAGACGAAGACGTACTAAGTAAATAAACTAACCAAACATTTGATACTCCAAGCAGCAAAGGAGCCAACTGAAAAAGTGCAACAACTTGAGTAGTAAAATAAAGTATTGCTGGATTCTAACTGAAAGTCTAAATAAATATCCATGAATTCATACTGATGTAAATAAATTATTGAATATATAATCAAATTTCCCTAGCAGACAAATAATTGATGTAGTCCAAATAATTGATGTAGCTACTTCAAGAAGGGGGAGTGTACTTCTTATTCCTTAAGTACAGACAGCACATAGTGACTTCCTTTCAACAAGTAAGATCTGGAAAGAGGAAAGGCGGCGGCAGGGCAAAGATGAACTTTATAGTGAAGAAACCGGACTAGGATTCAGAAAATCTGGATTTGAGTTCCAGCTCTAACATTAAACTTGGCTGTGTGGATACCCACGATATATATAGGTTTGTGCGTGCACATGTATGAATTTACCTCCACTGCAAGCACATCCATGAATGTGGTAGAGCATACAGGGGACAAACTTATGAGAACTTCTTAGGCAATGAGTTGCTAGTTCTGGGGGCTCAGGACCATAGTCTCAGGGGACACTATGGTCAACTGACTATCATAGTCCACAAAGACAGTGTTCTACATCCAGCTTTGGTGAGTAATGATTAAGATCTTAAAGCTCATTAGCAGCCATGTAAGGTGCAACTATTGGTCTCTCCATGTGTGGAGGCAAAAAGAGTGATGAAGATTGAAAATGCTTGGAATCAATTAGTCCAGTGGGCTAATGGACCATGTGAATGTCAGTCTCCACAACCCTAAGATCAGAAGAACTGGCTTCCACTACCAACTACACAGAAAGGGCTCACGTTAGAAGGTCCCGAATAGAGCGGGAAAAATGTGTAAGAGAACACAAAATTATTTTTTAAAAGATTGTGCATACTGGTCAGAAAGAGACTGAAGACCCTGAGACGGGGCCTGTGACCACCCTTCAAGTCTGAAACTGAACTCATTCTCACTGTCCAAGTTTCAGTCAACTGGCACATACACATATGTTGCTGCTCTTCTCAAATGCCATCGAGTCAGTTCCAACCCACAGTGACCCTGTATAGGGTTTCTGAGGAGATGGTGAGCTTGAACTGCTGACTTTGCAGTTTAAGCCATCTTTGAGTCCAGCGCATTAGCCCACAGTGCCACACCAGGACTCCAGATAGGTATATAGGGAACAACAACACTAGTTAAGGTGTGCTCAACATGAAATGGCCAACTATTCAGTACAAAACTGGCAACATGTAGCTAAGGACAAAATTTAGAAGGGATGGGAATGAGGATGGAATGGAACGAAGAACCACAGGATAGTTGTTGTTATATGGAAGGGATTGCAATCATTGAGATGAAACAAAGTGTACGATTTGCTGAATGTAAAACTGATGTTCTGCTCTGTAAACTTTCATTCAATTCCCAATAAAAAGTTTCAAATAAATCTATGTGATAAAATGTGAAACAAAACTCAAAATCACCAAAAAAAAAATGACCAGGCTTAGTGGTCATCTAGAGACTGAGAGAATCCCAAGACCATGGTCCTCCTTCAGGTCTGACACGGAACTCATCCCCGTGGCCCAATTTTCGGCCCAGCCCAGCAATAGAGAGGTATATAGTGGCTGGTGGCTGTGTGCCGTGGAGTCAGTTCTGACTCATAGCGACCCTATACGGGGTTTCCAAGGATGTAAATCTTTATGGGAGCAGAAAGCCTCATCTTTCTCCCACGGAACAGCTGGTAGTTTCGAACTGCTGACCTTGAGGTTTGCAGCCCGATTTGTAATCACTACGCTACCAGAGCTCCTTAGAGAGGTATATAGGGGAGACAATAAAATTAGTGAGGTACAAACACCATGGAATGAATAACCCATTAAAGATCAGAAGGGCAGTAGCATTTAGCCAAGAGCAAAACTCATAAGGATGGGAAAAGAAGGAGGAATGGAAACAAGAAACATAAGAAGAACTGGAATAAACTATGTTGCAATCACTGAGATAAAAAAAAGTGTACGGTATGTTCAACATAAAACTGATGCTCTGCTCTGTAAACCTTCACTTAATTCACAATTTAAAACAAAAAAACAAGCTGTGTGACCTTGCGAAAGTCAACTGTCTCTGAGTCTAAGTTCTCTAATTAAAAGAACTGGAGATTGATTGAGTTTACATTCCTTTTGTTAAAGTAATAGAAAATTTTCAAGTCATAGCCTGTCGTTTTATCTTTGTTATTTGGATCCCTACTTCTTTGTACCTCACATTTCATTTGAAAAGCGAGAAAGAACACCTGAATACGGAGCTCATGTAGCTCCCAGAGAGCAGAGATCTTGACTGTTTTGTTTAGTAGGATATGCTTACATCAGAGTGGTCATTATCAATATCCATTGGCTGAATGAATGAATGAATGGTTTAATGAAAACCCAGCAGTGTAACAGGAAGTGAGTTAATCAGCCCCCTTGCAAAACATAAGCACGCTTGATGTAATCGTTAAGCTACCGTGTGTTAGTCAATAGCATTCAACATTGATTCGGCATCTACAATGTGCCAGACGCTACACTAAGCCTGGTGAGTAGGAATACAGAGGTGGATGAGACTTGGTGTCTGTCCTCAAGAAACTTAATGAGGGAGGGAGGGTAGGAAAGGAGAGAGAAGTAATCAGAAAGATGAGCACAAGTTTTGAATGAAGGGAGATGAGATGAATTTCAGACTGACAATAGTTTTGATGGGATGTTTGGGGTGTCTGAGGAACCTGAAGAACAGCTAGTAAGAAGAAAACAGTTGAAATCAAAGATGAAAAGTTGGGTTGGTGGTGGTGAATAATTTTGAATATTCTTTGGATATTCTTAAATACTAAAAACTTTTTAATTTTATGAATACTATTAAGTAATAAAGAAAATTAATTCATAGTTGTCCATTATCAAGTAAAATTTTAAGCAAATTCTAACGATAACAAGTTAAAAAGGACAAGTGTCTGAACTTGAACGTTTGAGATGAATACGAGAGTGATTGTGAGATCCTCCCTTTAGTCTAACGTCCTCCTTGGAGTTTGGAGAAGTCTTCTTCATGAAGGAGTTCCCCACAATGTTACACAATGTCAAACATGCAGCAAGCACTTGGTGCAGTTTATTGAAAAGTAATAGGACCTGCCCTCAAGACACTTACAACATTGTTTCCTCTTGAGTTTCTCAGTCCTGAGGAATACTCCATATCATCAAAGAAAACAGACCCACCCAACGCAGAGAACCCCTTTGGTAGTGGTTGCTAATTATCCTACAGACAATACCAATGCCTTCTGGAAGTGAGAGACATGACTGATAGCAAAACTTGCAATTCTGTTCCTTCCTCCCTCTTCCAATCTAGCCTCCATTAGTCTCAGCTTCAGAGAGGGTTTGGCATTGGACCATGCTTCTCCTTCATCCTGAAGCTGCCAAGCAGCCACACTCTGTAGGCCAGGGACATAAGACCCAAAGATGTTACAAGGGATTTCAGAGATCAACTCTTCCAAACTCTGTAGGTTGCAAATCATAAGCTGTGAGCCCGGAAGTAAGTGACCTCAAGGTCACACTGCTAGTCTTAACCTCACCTGACAGTGTCCACTCTTTCTACTCCCATCCCCTGACCTCCCCCTGCCCGGGTGGTACCTGCCCAGTCCTTTGATGCCTGCGGAGCCCCTGGCCAGGCACTGTAAGCGGAGTCTCTCAATGGGGTCGGTGGCTGTGGCGAGTTTCTTGTTGGCCTGGATTGCCATCTCCCGGTCATGGCGCGCTGTCCCTGCCATCTGAGAGGATCTGAGAGGACAAGACACAGCAGCATTAGCGGAGAGGTGCAGCCTCGAGGATGTGGAATCAGCCGCCTTGCTCCCAGCAGCCTGGCTGAGAAGGAAATTGACGGCTTAAACCATTCTATTATGCTCTTCCAAGGAACAGATCAAACCTCCCAGAACTACACCAAGTGTGTGCCTGGTGTATTTATTACTTACTTATTGAGCCCTGAGGACAGTTGCTTTCTCAACCCTGAACCACAGGTTTAAGTATACAGCCAACCCCCACTGTGCTTTGTCCCTTCTGAAGCATCCTTTCCTTCACAGAAAAGCTGTCTGGTTCCTTGGAGTCTCCTACTTGAGCCAACTTCAAATGCTGTCTTTTATGAAAACTTTTCTCTAATCCCGTCGACCCACATTTAATAACCTCCTCTTTGGTCTATGCATTGTGTTTTGTTGCTACTGACTTGACTGTAATTGTCAGCACTTTGGCCCTAACGATTACTGCAAATAACTGCTTTGCTTCTCTTGATTAACAGATTAATGTCTATTAACACTTAATGAGGTTCTCAGGACAGAGAAATGATAAGCAGACACATACTCTCTCTTCTCCCCTTTTCTCTCTCAACAAATGTATGGACTAAAGCAAACCTATTTCCATTTAATCAGTTCCAACTCGGCCACCCCATGCATTGCAGAGTAGAACTGCTACATGGTATTTTCTTGATTGTAATGGCGCTGTGGGTTAATGCGCCAGACTGCAAAGCTGTTTGAACTGCACCAGCTGGTCCTGGGAAACCCTATACAGGGTCGCTATGGGTTGGAATCGACTCGATGGCACTTAACAAGAACAATGTTTACAGAGGAGTTCTGGCATGGCTCTGTAGGATCAGCACTGGGCTACTAACCACAAAATCAGTGTTTCTAACCCACCAGTCACTCCTTGTGAACCTTATACAGGGTCACTATGAGTCAGAACCAACTCAATGTCACTGAACAAGTATACAACAGTCTTTGCAGAAACAGATACCAAGTATTTCTTCCATGGCACCTCTAGGTAGGCTTGAATTGCCAACTTTTAGGTTAGTTGTTGAGGCAGACATTTGCACCACCCACGAACCTTTTTCACCACAACCCCCTCTCTCCTAAGGAGCTCTGGTAGCGTAGTGGTTACGAATAAAGCTGCTAAATTCAAGGTCGGCAGTTAGAAACCACCAGCTGTTCTGCAGGAGAAAGATGAGGCGTTCTGCTCCCGTAAACCTGTACAGGGTCGCTATGAGTCGGTTCCGACTCCACAGTACTTAACAACAATGACAACAGCCCCTCTCTTATTTCTGAATATTTAACAACACAAAAGCTAAATTGTAGTGTGAGAGAAGTATTTTACATATATACGTCTTATAAGGAGGAGCCCTGATGGCACAGTGATTAAGCTCTTGGCTGCTAACCAAAAGGTTAGCAGTTCGAACCCACCAGCCACTCTGTGCATCTGCTATGAGACAGATGGCAGCCTTGGAAACCCTATTGGGCAGTTCTCCTCTGTCCTCAGGGTCACTATGAATCTGAATTAACTAGATGGCACCAGGTTTAATCTTTACAACCAAATGTCACATCTTTCTCTCTCAGAGCACTGGTGGTGTCAAACCAGTGACATGCTGATTAGCAGCCTAGTGCTTAATGACTGCACCACTACAGTTCCTGAAGCACATTAGGGTGGCACTACTTTCACCTGGTGTGGCCCTGTAGGATCAGCACTGGACGGTAAACCACAAGTCAGCCATTCAAACCCACCAGCTGCTCCTCAGAGACCCTGTACACGGTCATTATGAGTCAGAACCAACTCGAAAGCATTTAACAACAACAGCCATTTTACCAAGAGCCCTAGTGTAGCACTATAGGATAAGCACTGGACTGGCAACGTCAAGGTCAGCACTTGAAACCCACCAGCTATCCTCAGAAACTCTACACAGGATCACTCTGAGTTGGAGCCAACTCAATGGCACACAGCAACAACATTGACCAAAGATGGCCGTCCTGTGCTAGAGCTGGACTACACCAATACAGCCTACAGGCCCCCTGTGCTAAGATCTCACCTAACTTCAGGGAGTGGGGCACCTCAAATTAAAAACTGAGAACAGCAGTGACAACTGGCTTAGCCAAAGGTTCCCACCAGTCAACTTCCAGATTCCCTCCTTCCTGCCCTACATCTTGATTCCCACCAGATAAGTGAAGGCAGGAACAATACCTCCCACTTCTCTTGTTTTTTTTTAATGTTTTATTGTGAATTATGTGATAGTTTACATGGGAGAACATTAGTTTTACATTCATCCTTTCGTATATCATCTCATTGCCATGGTTACAATCCCCTTCATGCATCATCAACCAACCACAAGGTATACCCTGAAAGCCTGCCCCCCAGTCGTCAGCACACAGCCCCTCTCCCTCTCTGTGTCTAAAGTCCCCAACTGCTCCATCTTTCCACATCATCGTCTCTGCCTCCATCTCAGGCATCACTGCGTCTCTGGGTAGGGTCCCGCTCTCTGCTCTTCTCCCTTGATAGTCCCAGGGACCTCCGCTCTTAGACTGTGAATTTAATCACTCCCCTCCTTGCTACAAAACATTTAACTTTACATTTCCAACCCTCACAATCAGTCCTGATAACAATTATTCACTATTGTATCACAAGAGACCTATCTGCATTTCATTTCATCAGCCCCGCCTAGACAGATTGGATACTACTCAGTGGAGGTTCTACCTTCCTCCACGCCCTCTGGATCTAGGCTTCCTCTTGAAAGCTTGTAAGCCAGTCACTTCTTGCCTTTGTAACGCCCCCATTTTGGGTAGCCAATGTCCAAGTTGCCCATCCCTGTCTACTGTGTATGTGGACCTCCCAGTTCTCTGGAATGCGGGGCCAAGGAGGAGGTATTTCCTGCCTAGCTCCCAGTTTCTCTGCTGTTATACAAAACCTAGCTCTGCCTCCTCTAACCCAACCTATGGAAGTTTCCAGAATTCCAGCTGGCCATACAAAGCCATCTGGTTTTCGTGGTCATGGTTGTTTGTTGGTGGTGGTTGTTTGTTGGAAGTAATGGTTATTTGGTGGTGGTGGTTGTTTATTGGCTGTTGTTGTTGGTTGGCTGTTGGTAGCTGGCAGCTAGTGGTGATGGTTATTTAGTGCTGTCCAGTTGGTTCCAACTCATAGCAACTATAAAAATATGAAGTACCAAACATTTCTCCCCAGCACTCTCTATTCAGCTTGCATCAATAATTCATTACAACGGTCACACAGAACTTAGACAACATACTCAAAGTTATGGGGTTTATTATGGAAGTTAACAGATGACAATATAGGACCAGAAAATGCTCAGGGCACAGTTGTTCCAGTTAGCTGCTGATAAAGGTCCACAGGACAATCACTCCACCGTAAACTTCAGCCTAAAGGCACTTCCCTTTAGTTCCATGCTTCAGCAAACCTAACTCCTCCACTTAAGTGTCTGAAGGCACTTCACTCTACAAGTAAGCTTCCTGTCCAAAGTCACTCAGCTTTCCTTGTGCTGCGAGCTGGGAAACCCACTGTGCTGTCTTGTGCTCTGGTTCTTGGTTCTACTGCTGCTCCTGTCACTTCTCTGGTGTCACAGCTTTCTGCCCCTGCATCAGGAAGTCCAATGCACCGGGATCTCAGGGTCCAAAGGATGTGCTCCACTCCTGGCTCTTCCTGTTTGACTGTAGTGAGATCCCCCTTCCTGCTTCTTAGATGACTTATTTTAAACCCACGTTAGAGTTTCAAGTTTTCACAATTACAATGAACTCTTGTAACACCCACAGTTGAATCATGCCATCTTCTCAGTATTTTATCCCACATACTTCTTACCCAGACCTATCAGGAAAAGAGTCTTTTGGTGGCTCAACGAGACATTAAATAAATCACGACACCACAGCAACCCAATGCACAACAAAAGGAAACACTGCCACTGCCCCGTCCTGGACACGCTTCACAATTGTGTTTGAGCTCATTGTTGTTGCCACCGTGTCAATCCATCTCATTAGGGGTCTTCCTCTTTTTCAATGACCCTCCACTCTTCCAAGCATGTCCTTCTCCAGGGACTGGTCCATCCTGACAACATGTCCAAAGTATGAGAGATGAAGTCTCACTATCTTCACTCCTAAGGAACATCTGGCTGTACTTCTGACAGTCAATATTCTTTGCCAATAACATAATCCAATGCATCAATTCTTATAGACCACCATCCAGTCATATCAGACAGGGCAAAAATCTGCTCCAAATTCTCCTCCATAAGGGTACCTACTGCTGCCCAAATCTGTTATCTTCCTCATGGCACTCTTGAAATTGGTATTGACCTATTGTTGTATTCCCAGGCTATGCCTGACCTCAACTAGGCAGTTCCCAAAGGCATTCCCCAGCTTCCCAGCTTGACTCCACGCTGTGGGATTCCTCCCTGGCAGTCAGAATCCTATGTTCATGTGCAGATCCAGCCATCACCTCTTTCTCATGACCATCTTTCCTGAAGATCTCCTTGGTCTGACCGGAGACCACCACACCTAGTTCCATCCCTCCCACTTTGCTCCTTTCCAGCACCCCTGTTGCCTTTGTTATCCCTCTGCTTCCCGCTGTGATACCTGCCCAATGGCTGACCCCCAACCCCTCAGCCTGATTTCCCACACACACACTACTTGTTTCCTCTCTCTCCTTTCCCAGCTCACTACTCCATTTGTCACGGAAGCACATAGGGAGTGGAGAGAAGCCTAGAAGCAACACCACTTGTAGAGTTCTGTGGGTTAGGCATTAGGCTGCTAGCCACAAGGTCGGTGATTCAAACCCACCAACTGCTCCAAGGTAGAAAGATTAAGCTGTCTGCTCCGGTAAAGACTGAAAGTCTTGAAAATTCTGTATAGGGTCATTGAGAGTCAAAATTGACTCTATGGCAGTTAGTGGGCTGTAGGGAGCAGGCAACATTCCAAACATGAGCCAGGAACATACATGACAAGAAAAAGAGTCATGC